AGGTTTGAGATGTCCTTGGTATGCGATCTACCTTACAAAAAATCGCGGAGTGACGCAAGCATAGGGTGCATGTGCAATGCACGAATCAGTGTTTTAGGCCGAATACCGTCAGAATAGACAGTCCGCACGGGTGGCGATAATCCATATTAGGCAGGCCGTCCACCATAGCCGGTCTCAAAAAGGAAAGTCAGGGCGTTATCGCTGAGCCGAAGTCGCCGTTACAGCGGCTATAAGATTATGGCAAGGCTCGAGAGGACACTCTGTCATTGTTCCGACATATTGAGAGTTGTCGCCTTTTGCAGCGCCCAAAATTGTTTCAACGAAGGGTAAAGATGTCCTTAAAACATATAATAGCTCTATCATCCACACTGTGTCGCATGTTCACAGCTGGTTATCTGCCGAAGCTAAGAAAATTTTTACAACACCCTGTTTTTCATGCTTTGAGGCTTGCAGCTTCACATCCAGACATTCCCTCGCCAATCGCATGTACAGGCATAAAGTACAACATGTTCTCGTAATTACCATGAATTTAGTTTGAATGATTTGCCAAGGAAACGGGCACAAAAGCGAGTTGTCTATTCTGACGGTGGTGTCTACTCTGACGGTGAATCACAGTAATACCGATTAGATAAATTGCAGATTGCAAAGAGAAGCCAGAACAAATCGAAGCAAGTATCTCCTGCTAGCGTACCTAACGCGGCCGTTGAAGCCCAGCGCTCGCCTGAATAAACCGTCGCTTGTTCCTCTCGATGACCTCGCTGCTCAGGCCTTCCTCTGGTGGAATACGCTCTGTTGCAGCGACAGCGCTTGTAGCGTATCCAAGCGCCCGCTGATAATGCTTGAGATTGAGTGCCATCTGCGCTGCGTTTCCCAGAGCGATCACAAGCTGCTTCCTCGCACCACGAATCTCCGCAGTATATCTGCCGTCGGTGTTATCGTCTAGCGCAATCAGTGCCGCGGCTAGCTCCGCCGCGCTCAAGAACTTCATGCAAACGGTGTTGAAGCAGTGTGCATCCTTCTTTGACGCGAGATGCTCACGGGCATCCTCTATTCGTTCGAGAATGCGCGTCAACGAGAGCTTGATGATGCGGCAAATCATGTCAGGATGTGTGATATGTTGAATGTGCGCAAGAGATGTTGAGGAGGTCAGTCCATTGGGTGGCTTGAGAAGCGTTTGGATGCCGTCCAGTGCTTTCCGTTGCGCGAGAACAACGATAAGACGGACAAGTGCTATTGGTCCTATTGTTTCCCGAGGCGGAACTGAGAACGGGGTCTCGGTGGGCATGCTTCCAGAAGGATTCATTAGATGGGGAGTATCATAAATGTCTTTGTCGAGTTCGAGCGCCCAGACAGCTTCGTCGGCAGTTTTGCACTCGTTTAACGGTTTGCTGCACTTGACGCATCCCTGGTAAGCGATGTGAAGGAGAGACTCGATCTGTGCGTTAGAAATTCCGCAAGACTCGGCGTTATGAGTGAGGATGTCGATCAACTGTAGCGTAGATGCCAGGCATTCCACTGGGCAGGATTGAATGAGATTGGATGAAGTTCTCGACGTCGCGAAGTACAGGACGCACCGCGAGTCTTTGAGACGTTCCATAAGGAGTCACGTTCGTAAGGGTCAACACCTGTGCTGCCTTCGCGCACACTTTCATGGATATACCTCATCATTAGGTATTGACTGTCAGTATGCCGCCATATTGATTCACATACTTACATTGCAACGTGGTCTTTGTCCTCCTCTTCGACGTGCATCCAGACCTCAATCAATCTCTCCAGCCAGTCGGTACGGGAGGTCAAGATTGTTAAGGCCTGTGAGAAAGCTTTCCATTCTCGGCTTTTCTTGTCTGGTTTTGTCACCCCAGGTATTGCATGGCTCGGCAGGGCGAATAGTAAGAGGAGTGTTCGGCAGGCATACATGCTTGCTTTGCTTTGCGGGTAGTGTTCTGGTCGATCAAGAATAGCGCAATCGAGAAGTAGGTCGATGATGTGTGGCTTTTCCTTCAGAATCGCGAGGCAAAACTGACGCGACTGAGGAGGAAACGTGCACAGAACGGCATGTGCAGCAAACATTGCGTTATCCACAGTGAGCGCGTAAAAATGAGGTGGAAAGTCCTCCACTTTCTTGGGTGTTTCCTATGAGCAAGATGTGAGTGGTGGATGCGAAATGAACAGCAGCGCAACGAAGACAACACATTTTTCTTATCCATAAACATAGCTCTCTGCCAGGATGTCTCAGGGTCGTGCATTTGGGCTATCGTTTCTTCCGGCCCTTGAAGCGCGAAAACGCAAACGGCCTCAATGACATCAGCGGCCTTTGAAGGAGGTATCGTCTCTCCTAGGATGCTTGCAAACGCAAAATTATGTAAAGTAGTGGCGGCGTTCTGATGCAAAAAGCAGAATTCGTGTCGCAAGTTCTACCTCATCAAAACAAGAATGAGGATATTGAATAACCAAAATCGATGGTAACTCGGACTTACCTTCACGCAGACATCCAGCGCGCCTTCTTGTAGTAGCGCTTGGACAAGACTCCGGCGTTCTGAGACATCGCCCATCGCCATCAATGAGCTGAGCGATTCCAGGGCCCAGAACTGAGCCATATAAACCGCATTTGGCGTAGACGTCCCATACCACTCGCGCCTAGAGAGCTCTGTCATCGTAGGGACTACATCTGCTTCTATGCAGGCAAGGGCGAAAGGAGCGAAAGGAAGGTTTTTGAGGCCGACTTCGTCTCGGAGAGCTCGGAGGTCCTGGCAGAGGGTGCCCTGAGGATGTAAAATACCACAGCGAACCTGCGGTGATCATCATGTCAGACATGCAGACCTGACCTGACTTACCACCAGATCTAGAATCACGTCAGCATCTTCGTGGATACTCGTCATCTTCACAAACACCGCTCTGAGTTCCTCTGTTTGCTGAGGTCCTGGCGAGACAAAGGTAGAGTCAAACTGAGCGATCAGGGGAGTGCGGTTGTTGCGCATGGTGAGTTGAGATGAGCACCGGGGATTAGGACGAAGGAGAAACAGTCGTCGCAGTGGCGATTGATGACGAGGAACATCTCTAGCAAGCTTTGACAGGTGGCGTCCGGTGTCCGATGCAGCACGTGGCCCCGGACAACCTGGTGTGTTGGGCGTCCCTCCCCGCAGGTTTAATCACCACCGAGTACGACTATCGCGAGCCAATATGCAGCTAGACAGCATCGCTTAATTCACCACGTTAGCTGTAGAATGCCGTTGACGTTAACGCGAGCTTCCGCTTGCATATAGAAAACGGATGAGGGGCCATGAGGGACAACAGGGGCCTCAGCTAGAAGACGCTCGCTGGGATATGCGATGACGTATTGCTGAGAATGTGTAGAATACAATGGAGAGTGTGCGTAACAGAAAATCAAGACCTCAGCTCGATGGGTCATGTAACACGGCAAGCAGATAACGTTTCTCTTATGGGTGGGATCAACCAAGGAGGCTCAGCGCACAGAGACAAAGGCGGACGAACCTGGTGAGATCATAATCTCGTGGCGCTTCGTCCGTATCCTCATGAAGCGAATCGTATCCTGGTCGCAGTTTCGGTCAAAGTCAGTTGAGTCGTGAAGGAGTAACGAGTCGAGTATCATAACGTACCCCATCATCCTCCGACTCGCTGATCTCATGCAGGCCCGACTGAACGACTTCAACCATCTTCCCTATCACACTTGCATACTTGCGCCCATTCTCCCCATCGAAGATGACGCCCGAGTGTCGAATGATAGACAGGTGATCTCCTCTAGAGAGTAAGATGTATCCGAGAACAGTGCGATGTGCCGAGAGTACGGATAGTGTCTGTTCGAGGTCTGACGGCAAAGCGGGTGCGGCTGATGTAGCCGGGACAGACGAGGTGGATGCGTTGCCGTAGGTTGCAGACGTTGATGCTACAGCCTACCAGGGAGGTTTAGTTTAAAAGGTAGACTTGGAGAAGATTGAGACGCACCATGATTTGGACGGTGTGGAGGAGGGTAAAGGGGGCAAGAGAAGGCAAAGCCGCGTGCTGTATTCCGCGTCAACTCGCGTGGCAGCAACGTGATCTAGTATATCGTTCCGCCAAACCGAGTCTGTCTACGGCGGCAACAAGGACATATGTTAACATCCCTAGCCCCATACTATTTACAGCTATCATCAAGTAGGCATAACGGTGGCGAGGCAGTCCACGCCATCACAAGGTGAATTAGAGTACGCTACCAATACATGTATATAATCCTATTCTCATGTCTCCTCAAAGCCTCCCATAGCTCGGACACCCTCGACCAATCTACGGTATTCTCTCAGCAACTCGCCCACCTCACTCACACGGATATCATCCTCTGTGGCCTCGAGGAACCGTCTATTAGGTGGTGCAAGCTTGGCCCGCAACGATCCTGTTGGCGAGGCAGGGCGTTGTAGACTCAAAGTCACAGAAGCCGGAGAGTCAGCTCGCGCGCCTGCAGATAAGAGAGATGACCGCTGTTACAAGAATCAGCAACGCTGATAGCGTGTCAGCGTGAATCCTCACCTTGTCCCTGTCCTTGTCCTGCGAGAGCCGTCCCAACCCGCCCGCAACACTGGCGAGTCTGTCCGTAAGGCTCTTGGATATTCCGCCAACGCTACCGCCACCACCACTCCCGCTCGCACCAATGTCGCGCTTGTGCTTGGACCTTCGCGACCGATTCGACTTGGTCGACGCATTCATCATGCTCTCAAAGCTCCTGATGCTTCGCGCGTCGTGCGTACTCGCCCGTTCTACTGCCTCTTCTGCCTCCTCGCCTTCCTCGTCACTCCCTTCTTCTGAGGATCCACCACTCTCTCCATCGCCGTCGTCCTCGTCGTCTTCGTCGGAAAGACGATCCCCATCCCCGTACCCTGACTTGACTGACCCAGGGCGAGAAATGACAGCGACGAGCTGCTGCCCGTCTTCGCCATCCTCTCCGGTTTGTGTCTGCTGTCGACGCTGGGCGACGCTCGCTGCCAGACTCGCGATCGAGAACCCGCTTTCGCGTCGTATAATGTTGGGCTGGATCGCCCCCTTCTCTAATGCTTCCGATCCAGGTACACCAGGCACAGACGTGGGCAAGAACGACCTCAGAACACCAAACGACGAATCGACGACACCCGAGATAACCTTGTTCGCCGAGCCGGCGATTGCGTCCACCTGTTGCTCGACTCGTCCTCTCAGTGTCCCGCTCGCTGGTATTCCCAGCAACGGCGCCGAGGGCGAATCTGGCGTGGAGCCGCCGCGCACGATCGGGATGGGCGACAGGTCGGCGGCGCTGATCACTTTCTGGCTGTCGCCCAGGCCGAGCGCCTCAAGATCGACGTTCTCCAAGAAGCTGGCGGCGGCGAGGAGGTTGATGAGACAGTATGCCTCTTCGCCACCGCCAACAGACGTCGCTCTGAATCGTTGTGTGAAGAGGAGGTGCGAAACGAGGTGGGGAGGGTTGGACTTGGCGAGAGTGAAGATGAGCAAAGGTAGGAGAACATCGCCAGAAACGGGTGTGCTTGTTGGAGGCGTTGTTATCAGAAGAGGGGATGATGGGCGTGGCGCCGGGAGAGATCCCAGTGACGGTGAACCGGGGCAAGGAAGGGAAGAGCTGCGATGCGATGGTGACTGAGCAGGGGAGAGCGGTGTCTGCATGACGTCGACGCTTGTTGTTGTCGTTGAGCCTCCCAGAGGCGAGTTAACGAGGGTTACGGACTCGGGAATGGGGGGTGTAGCGGGTTCGGGGTCCGGTGCCATGACGATGGGGATGGAGAGAGGAGATGCAGATCCATCGACAAGGGCAGTGGGTGAAGCGACGAGAGGGACATCAACGCCTTCGATGGGTCCTGATGGCAATGGAGGAGGCCCTTCCTTAACCGAGCGGCCTATATCGACGACGTTCTCTTCGTCACTTGGTTTCAGGCGGATGGGTGGGAGTTTGGAGAGACCATCTGGGTGTCGGTCAGTATGCAACCGAGAACAGGTAGATCATTCCTACGTACCTACTAGAACCTTGTGTGCGTTGACGAGGACAGCACTCTTGTCTCCTGGTGAGAAACAGATGTCAAGTTGTTGCAAAGCTGTAGAATAGATATAAGGATATAGTTTAGTACGGAAATGACGAGCCCACTTTGTCCACATGCTGTGATAACGGAATTCAAGTCGTCCGCTGCGCCGCCGACGTCGACATCCAGGTGAGCAAGGGTCAAGTCAACGAGGTTCACAGCTGCCACACGACTTGATAGCGCTTCGTCGTGCGACGCGTCGTCGACCCCGTTCATGAAGATTCTGTCGCATTTCATCAGCCAATTTGCTGCTCACGATCCTAACTCCCTACTCACCTATCGTATACGACTTCGCACAACGCCCTCTCAACGATCCCTACAATGGCCCTTACTTCCTCTTCCCTCTCCTCTCCGTCTGCATGCTTGTCTGTACTGGCACCCCTGAGCCGCATGTGCAGCTCGTCATCAAGCTGCGTGAAGAACCTCTGGAAGCTGTTCTCCTCGACCTCAGTCTCTAGTGGAAGAGCCACGACATACGGCGTCCGCCCAGGAGACGCGCCTATATCCTGCAGCTTCTTCTTCCCCGCAGGCGCCCGAGTGAACGGCATATAAGGGGCTCCGAACGCAAGCGTCTTATCAAGTACCCATGGCGGAACGAGGATGGACGAGTCATCCGTATCAGCGCTCGCTTTGCCATTGCTGGAGATGTCGAGCGCAGGAGTGAGAGCTGATGCAAGCGCAGATGTGAGCGTGGAGTTGATCGAATGCGCAACGTCTCGCCTGTAGATGGGTCGGGAGATGCTGAACGCAGAGATTGGGATCGGGTGATCGTCTGTATGTGGCTGCGCTCCGCTCACCGATGTTGATGGAGAGGATCCGGGGAGGGGCACTGTGGGTGTTGGAGGCGTCGATGAGGGTTTCTGTCCAAAAAGGCTAGCGAAGGGGTTCGCCAGGCGAGACCCAGTTGCCGCGGGTGAGCGTGCTCCGGGCCGAGGGGGTAGGGGTGGTTTCTGAACCTTTGGAGGCAAAGGGAGGGCAGAACTGAAGGCGGGGACGGGGAATGTGGGGAATGATGTGGCTACGGCCAAAGGCGCAAGAGGTGGAAGTGCATTGAGCAGGGGCGTTCGAGCAGGGTTGGCGAGAATGTTTTTGAATGCCTTCGTAGATGGGTTCAGGGAGGAGCGGAATGTTAGTTCCTCGCTATGGCACAGGATGTTACGAGATGTTCAGGGAGAATCGGTAGAAGTACTCACTCCTTGAGCGTACCACGTAGACCGGAAAGTGTAATGACAGGAGAGTCATCCCGGGTCTGGCTGTCACAGAGTATGATGTGGTCTTTCATGAAGTCTGGCGTAATCTTATCCTTCTCATGAGCGGCGCTGAGCGGCAGGAGCATGCACGCCTGGGTATATGCGTCAAAATGTGCATCATAGAGCGCATATAGTGAGCCCATCGGAAGCTCTGACGTACCTTGCCCTTCGTGACCGTATCCCATATCTCTGTCCACTCATCAGACGAATCCGCCTCGTGCGAGAGCTTCTCAAGCATCGCCCATCCTAAGCTTCCAGTATCGAGGCCAATGCCTTGTGCAGCCGATCGCAGGTTCACCAGCTGCAGTCGACTGGTCGCGCCACCCTGGCCACCCTGACTTTGAGGAGCCACCGGTATAGACACGGCCACGCTGGACTGCGCCGATGGTGCCGTTGTTGGGACACCCGGAGGGGCAGTTCTTTGTCGTGGGGTATATGGCACATATTTGTGCGCTGTTCCTGCTGCTGAATTCGGCGGGTGATGCTGCCCTGCCGGTTCCCCGGGTCCTGAAGGAGGACTGGTTGTGCCAGTGCTGCTGGAATTGGGCGAAAGAAGAGGATGTGCTGCGAGGGTCTCGAATGAGGATGTGCGGGAAACGTTCGCTCCCTGCACGCGTCCAATGGAGGAGGCAGGAAAAGCCTCCCTCTTGTATGTCATTATAAAGAAAGAGAGAAAGAGTTGTATGAAATATAATGCCCTTTACCAGCGAGCAGAGATGCAGGCGACGCGGGGCTTGGCGTTGTCGAGAACGGAAATGGAGACATTGCCTCCGAAGTGATCATGTGATACAGCCTTAGATTCCCACGCTAGGTGCGCGCAGGGGGAGCGAAAAGCAAGTGCCCGCCAACGTCGTCAACGCAAGACTCCTCAAGAAAACGACGCCATGGTGAGTCTTGCTGCCATTGCTCGCTGTCATACACGTCCTAGGACACATACGATGCGTATGGTTCGACTTGGGGCACAGACGGAATGCTGGATGGGTTGGATGGGTTGGATGGACTCTGGATGGATCGGATGATGTCCCTTTGCGTGTATGATCCCTGTTATCCGTTGACCTTGCTGACCCCACTTTCCTCCGTCAGACTAAAGGTTCGTAACATTGTCAATTGTGGTCTTGGAAAATGGTTGACGGAGACATTGATTCTGTTCTATGTCGTCTGATTGATTAGGTACTTCGTCATTCGGGTACGCACATCTCCTCCTCTTCACCGTTCGCCTTCTCATCTACTCACCTATAGTAAGCGCCACACCAAGTCGCACACCGTCTGCCGGCGATGCGGCAACCGCGCCTTCCACAGGCAGCACAAAAGTACGCCTTATTCTTCATTATCAAACGCATCCACATTCTTAACCGTATCTAACTCGCGCAGCTTGCGCACAGTGCGGCTACCCCTCCGCCAAGCTTCGCTCGTATGAGTGGGGCCAGAAGGCCAAGCGCCGAAAGACCACCGGTACTGGTCGCATGCGCTCCCTCAAGGAGGTCTCGCGGAGATTCAAGAACGGCTTCAGGTGAGCACCTCCACCTAACTTGCCATTTCCTGTCGAAAAAGGCACCCGTTTGATTGACGATGCTTTACAGAGAAAACACCGTCGCCAAGAAGCGTACCCGCAAGTCAGCTGAGGCATCAGCATGAACGGGCTCCCGCCCGTGATGCTCCGGGGGATATCCAGAATGATCACGTCGTATACGTATCATTGCAGGCGTCGCATTATTTCGTCTCTCCGCCACTGTATCGACCACCTCTATAGCTATGCACGCATGTCGCACCTACGCAAAATCCATGACCCCATGCCTCTGCGGTTCTTTCCCTGTCTGATAGTCTGAGAGCATATGCCTGGTGTGTGAGTTGCTCATGCCCTCACCTCCAGATAACCACATATGTCTCATGCTCGCCATGTCCGCGTATTGCTTGTCGCGGAAGCTACAGGCGGACGCCACCAAGACTTCGAGTTCATAGCCAGGATTAAAGTACATCTTATCATGTTCGAAGTTGCCCGAGGCCAAAGTTATGCAAGCCCAGGCGTGCCATTTCGCTAAGAAAAATGGGTATCATCCCAAGCTGCCACCTGAGATATATCTGTTCGGCGAGTAGTCGCCGTTGATCGAACGTTTGAGACGCGTCAACAGGAGTCCGTTCGGAATTGCTTGTCGATGACGATACAATATGGCGATGTAAGTGGCGAGACTGAGACCTGCTGAGACCTACTCGAGGTCAGGACCGAGCGTAAATGCCGAGCATCACCCGTCGCTTCGGGGCGAAGCAACAACAGCTGTTGACCCTTTACCTTTGACAACCCGCTGCAGTCCGGCAACCAGACTGATCGATACCTGACAGTCCAATCTTGCGTTTCGTTCAATCATTCATCCCAGGAACGAGATTCTTCGTGATGAAGAGGTACTCGAAAAGTCTTTATGTACGTACATCGGCATTTTTCTTTGGGCTGCCTCCCGCATGCTTACAGCAGCGGAATGTGGGTTTGGGGAACATGATCAATTGACCGGACACGGTTTGTGGATGCTTTGACATATTCAGACCTTTTTGAGTGTTTGTTGCCCCAAATGTCGGTCTACGCCTGGCTCGAGGTCCACCGGCATACTCGACGGACAAGCCTGAAGTAGCGCCCATTGATGCATGTTGCATCGTCGACGTCCCTTGATGTCGATGTCAAGTCCATTACCGCATCGTGAATGTGATTTGACCACAGCCGTAACACATGGATCATGATGTACCCCCAGGCGTCTCCAAGCGCAAACAAATGCGATGCACAGCAGATAACCCTCGTCAGGGAGATATCACTGGCGACGCAGCGACTCCGTCATTTGGAGGTGCGTGCCGTGTGTTTCAGCCGCAACTCCAGGTGCAACCCCGCTAGCAATGATGGAATCTGTGCATTCTTGTACATATGAAACGCAGCGGGACTCCCATCGGGAGAGGCTGTCAAGATGTCAACGAACGAGGCTAGGGAGGAGCGTGATAGCATCAGGCACAAGCACCGCATCTTGACAAGCAACCGCATTCTCACATGCAAAGTTGAAGCTTTGGACAGGCTCCGTTGATCTTGATCCACCCAGATTAGGCGTTTATGCATCATTTACCCCTCGGTTTAGCTGTTTCTCCAGGGGGGCCGATACGCCGTTTGACTTACTTATGTGGCTGTTGAGGCAGGGTCCGGGATGTCGTCTTCGCTATCTTGCGCTCCTACTTGCACAACTGAAGCAGGCTGGATGCTGGCATGCCTCAGTTAGCATAATTCTCGCTCCCCAGACGCTTTTTACTTCTTCTCCCATTGAAGTTGAGAGGTTCCATCATCCGTCTCAGCGAAACTCCATCCCTTGCAATAATCTGCGACGTTTGGAGCGGCACGAGTTTCAGGTCTATCACACCATACCAACCTGGATTTCTCTCTTCTAGTGCCTGGGACCTTCTCGCTATCATTGGACTTTGGTGTCTCTGCATTCTCGTTTGTCGCCACGGTCCCACCGCTACCTGTTCTGTTCCTTCGCCTTTCCCTCTATCCTTCACTACTCTTCCCTCGCTTCGTATCTCCCATTTTAGCCATCGCCTTGTAAAGATGGGACTCTTCTCGCGAAAGAAGAGCAAACCTGCCGCCCTGCCCGACCTATACATCGTCGACCCAGGTTATCAATCACAACAAAACACCCCCGTCAAGATAGGCTTTTTTGGCTTGAAAACGCCTCGGACGCCCAAGACACCCAGTACGCCTGCTCCACCATACGATAGTGTATCATACGGTCGCGGATATGCTGCACCCCCCATTCCTCCCATTCCTTCTGTGCCGCCAACGGTTCCATTATCAAGGCAGTCCTCAGCTCACAACAACACGGCACCCAAATTCATCAAGAAGCGACCATCGCTGCCATCAATCGGCCAACCCAAGAACGGCGTCGTCCGGCCACCATGTCTCTTCCCGCCATCCGATTACACCGCACCAGCACAAGTATGGGCAGCGAGTGTGCAGCGCCTCGCCGAACACGCCGAGTGCCGAATACGACGGGTCGTGCACTGCTCCGTCCGATCCAACGCTACCGGCTCGCAGGGTCCCTCGCATGAGTTCGTTGTGGTCTACATCCGCCATCCATGTGGGGCAGACGCGATCATGGTGGCCGAGCGTGGTGGGCAGGACGAGGACGCACACCCGCAGCAGCAAGATTCCTGGGATCCACAACGGCGATCATCGCAGGAAACCTTGATCGAGGAACGCCTACGCATTCCGGTCACGCTTGTTCGTCTTCCGCCCGCCGACCGTGTACGCCTCGCGCCCCTCGGCGACGCGGGGGCACTGCTATCGCGGTACGCCGGAGGCGTGAACGAGCTCCACACGCTCTCGTTCCCGAAGGAGCGTCTCGCCCCACACGTCGCGCACGTCGCAGCTCTCTTGTGTGCTTTGAATCTGCACAATCCAACGACGAACGGCGGGAGCTCGCAGCGCGCCGCATGGCATGCGTACACGTTCACCGAAGTGCTCCACACGATCTTCGGCGGCGACGGCAAGGCGAGCAAGAAGTGGGTCCGCGCGCCGTACGGCGGTCTCCGTGTCGGCATAGAACATACCGTCGAGGGCGCGATAGGGAGTTATCAGCGCAAGTGGGAGGACTTCATGAAGAAGCTGGCGCAGCCTTCTGTCAAGGCAAAGGTACGCACACCTATCATGGTACTCATACAGAACGACGTGCTGAATGAGAGCCAAAGGTGGTTGATGAGAAGGCGCTGCGGAAAGAACAGAAGAAGGCTAAGAAGAAGGAAGAGTGCAACGCGTTTGCTGACATGTTGCGTACAATGGAAAACCAGTACTAATGTTGTCTCAAACGTCTTCCCCCCTTGTTCATTTTCTGCCTTCTGTGTTCGCCGTGTATATCCTGATACTTCATGTCTAAACACGCTTACGCTTGCATCTCACGATCTTATCTATTCGCCACATGTCTCCATCGATTTGTTCTCGCGTTTTATGTCGATATCTTACTTGTTTATGCGTACACTACTGGGATTATAGGTTACAGTCTCCCTACTCATGTACTTCTAGCTTCCGGTCTTATTACTGCAGACACACATCTGCGTCTATCTATCACTCGTTTAACATTTACTGCTCTCCACCACAATTAAGAGGATGTATAGCGTTTGACTGCGGGTTCAGAAGGATAAAGACGCGCTGAAGGCCCTGCTCAAGTAAACATTACATCATTTGGGGGAGTTCATTTACAGCGCCGATACTAGGAAAGTCCAATTCAAGCTACTCTATCGTCAGAAAAAGCATTCAACGCCCTCAATCGGGCGCATTAGGGGTCGATGCCGTTGACTACTCAATGGTACGTGTACAAGCAGTCGGGAGACATTAACCTTCGAGTACCTGCGGTCCCTCGTGTCTAAAATCGCACTCAAAGCCATTCTCAAAAAGACCAATACAGATGATTATATTCAATGATCTCAAAAGCGTGTATAAACCCAAACAATCTCAAACTTTCAGACACAAACCCAGTAAGACTTTGTTTTACCTGATCTAGCAACGAAGGGCCTTAGGCAGTCACTTTGCCGACGTAAGCGTTAAAGTTGTTAACCGTGCAGGTACTGCTGATCTGCTGAGAGCTCGTCCCCTGCATGACAGGCGACCCATTGCGCTGGAGCGCAAACACCTGCTGGCCGAGGCCCATCGGCGCGCTGACGGTGTTGATACCGGCGGGGACGTCGATCGAGACTGCAGCATTTGATCCAGATCTAAGCATTGGGAAGCAAACGCATACTGTATTAGCACCCAGATACGTTGCCTAGAGGACTAGAAATATACGTGATGACGACAGTGGCGGGCGAAGTGGTCAACGCGGTGACGAAGACGAGGTCATCATCGAACTCGTAGCCGGTGGGCTGGGCAACGCTGTCGGAGCAGGCGGCGTCCTTGGGCGAGGGGCGGTAGTAGTAGACAAGCTCTTCCGTCTGAAGAGTAATATGAGTCACCAGTTGAATACGGGGATATGAGTCGGAAGCAAACCTCGACCGTAGGGGAGGATGCGCCAGCCTTGTATGCTTTGATGTAAGGAGCAGCGACGTCCCTCCATGCGTCATGAGTCATGCTATACGGTACTATAAGATTGTCGCCCCATGAGATAGCACGAAGAGACGTACCCGGTGACCCATTGGACAGCGCCGGTGTCTCCACCAGCATAGACGCTGGGGTTATCGGGGTGCAGAGGGCCGATGTAGTGCGACTCGCCAAAGTCTGAGCATCAAAGCATAAGACCACAATGTACGTATGTGGAAACAGGTTTCTTACCATTCCAGGTCACGATCTCCACGAACTGGGGAGCGAGTTGGAGAACCTGATCCCAGCGGGTGTTCCACAGCCAGTCGCTGTAGAAGATCCAGTTCTTGTTGTACGAGCTCGGGCCGTAGTGGGTGAAGAACCAGGGTGAAACAGCTGCGCGAGTGAGTGGATGAGTGAGAGATCATAGATCAACGCAGTCGATGAATAAAGGACCTACGCATCATGTATGGATTCGAGCCGAGGTTGGTAATGTACTCCTGGTCCAGCGTGGTGGTCATGTTCTGGTCAATGGGCTGGTTGTTCTGGTTGGGCCACTAATTTGTTCGTCAGCACATATGCACCGTGAATTAAGGTCTGCAGCGGGAAATGACTCACAGCACCCCAGCTGAATCCACAGCTCACGCCGTTGTCCCCACCGAATGAGCCGGGTTGCCAGTTCGGGCAGGCAAAGAGGGGCTTAGACTGGGAAGCGACGTCTCCCCAGTTGAAGCCATCGCCAACGAAGGTGGAGACGAAGACCTCGTTGTTGTAGATGAACTGACCATCCATCGCGCCGTAGGTGTTGATGTACTGCGCGATAGTTGAGGTGTCGCCAGTGGTCCAGTACGAGAAGTCGAACGAGATGAAGACCTTGAAGCCGGTTGCTGAGGCCGCGGCGTATGCGTAGCCGAGCTGCTGGTCGTTGTACGAGTCCTTGCCTTGAAGGGTAAGTTAGTGCACCGTAACGTCGAGGAAGATAGACTCTATGTACCGATGTTGAGGGCAAAACCGTCAATGCCGATGCTCTGTGCGAGCTGCATATCCGCCGTCCAGTCATCTTGGGTATAGGACGCGACAATGCCGACCTTAATGATACACGGTTAGCATTCAATACCATAGCATTTTCTACGGGCTCACCATGAAGTGGGCGAAGACATACTTGTCGCCGCTAGCGCGATCAACAAGCTCCTCTGTACCACGAGTGGGCAAGATCGCTCCGAGTGCCGACGACGCGAGCGCAGCGGCCTGGACGAGACGAGAGAACGAGAGTTTCATGGTGGAAGTTCAAGTGCTTGAATGCTTTCCGTCCCACAGGAGTCGGATTTATACCATCATGAAGGGTGGCCCACTTTGAGTCTCGAGCTCAGAGAAGAAGACAGGAATCAGTGGAAACGCCGCAAGACACCGCGACCATCATGACATGGCAAAGCCGCCGCATAGCCGGGGGGAAGGCCTCCGAGGCTCATGTTTGAATAAGCATGTCGACGTAGGCTGGCGTTCGCTGAATGAGACCAAAGTGAGGGTGTTGGATGTGGCAACGTTTTCGTTGTGCTGGAGGTTGCTGGCTGACAGACAGTGACAGCCCCTGGCAGCCTGTGACGTTGATCTACAAGTGCTCCATGCGTGCTGAAGGTCACGCGGGAAAGTGCCCTCTTCTCGACCAATCCCGTTGCTCTGGAACCCGCGACGAGAGCTCACTTCATGATGCATCTTCAGGGAGTACGGCGAGCAACACCTCTCAGTTCGTACCTTGCAACCTCGAACGAACGCAACCACACGAATCAGGGCAAACCGTTGAACCATTCAGCCAAAGTCAGAGCCCATTTCCCATGATAAATTACGCATTTGAACCCGACTAGATACACAGATGTCCCGCGTTGTAAGCCAACTTGACTTACCATGTATGACACTTAACTCAAGCCTTGACACTGCCGACATATGCGTTGAAGTTGTACACCGTGCAGGTGTTGGAGATGTCCTGAGAACTCGTTCCTTGTATGACCGCCGCCCCGTTGCGCTGGAGCTCGAACGTCTGCGAGCCGAGACCCATCGGCGCACTGACCGTGTTGATACCAGCGACGACAGGAATCGACACCGGTGCATTCGAACCAGAGCTAAAGCAAAATGAAGTGTAAGTGGAGCGCGAAGGGGGAGAAAGAGAAACAGGAACGTACGTAATAACCACTGTTCCGGGAGACGATGTCATCGCGATGACGAAGACGGAATCATCGTCGTACTCGTACCCAGTGGGCTGGGCGACGCTGTCAGAGCAGGTGGTGTCCTTCGGTGTGGGGCGGTAGTAGTACACCAGCTCTTCGGTCTATAAAAACTATGAGGTTCGCCGCGCCTGATTCACATTGGGCCACGTACGGTCACAGTAGGAGACGAGTCGCCGTTCTTGTAGGCTTGGATGTAAACTTGGGCGACATCCCTCCATGCATCGTGGGGGAAGCTAAGAATTGCTGTTAGCTAATGTAACGTACGAGAGTCGAGACAGGAACGCACCCAGTGACCCATTCAACAGCTCCTGTGCTTCCACCAGCGTAGACACTAGTGTCATCCGGGTGGAGAGGGCCGACGTAGTGGGACTCGCTGAAATCTGTTCATTCCGAGTGAGTATGCAGTAGTAAAGTTGCCGAAGTCTATCCTTACCGTTCCAAGTAATGATTTCCACGAACTGAGGAGCGAGTTGGAGAACCTGTTCCCAGCGGGTGTTCCACAGCCAGTCACTGTAGAAGATCCAGTTCTTGTCGTACGAATTCGGACCGTAGTGGGTGAAGAACCAGGGCGAGACGCCTGAAAGAGCGAATGAAGCACAGCCCATGCAAATGTGACGAGCGTAACTTACCCATCATGTAGGGCATGGACCCAAGAGCATTAAGGTAGTCTTGATCTCCTGCGGTGGTCATATTCTGGTCGATGGGCGCGTTGTCGCTGCTGGGCCACTGCGACAACGTCAGAAAGTGCGCTTCCTTCACAAGTATAAAGGAATCCTTACAGCGTTCCAGTTGAAACCACAGCTAACACCGTCGGCGCCTCCGCTGAGCGAAGCAGCCTGGTAGTTGGGGCATGCGAAGAGCGCCGGAGACTCCGATGCGACGGTGGACCAGTCAAAGCCATCGCCGATGAAGGTGGAGACGAACACATCGTTGTTATACGTGAACTGGGCGGACTGGGACGCGTATTGGGTGATGTTCCCCGCGATCAACGAAGTGTCGGCGGAGGACCAGTAGGAGAAGTCGAATGAAAGGAACACCTTGAAGTCGAGCGCCGCAGCGGCCGCGTAGGCGTACCCGAGCTGTTGGTCGTTGTATGGATCCATTCCTGCAAATCTAAGGTGAGCATCTTAACTTTGCCAAGTCGGTAATGAACCCAACGCACCGATGTCCAGGGCAAAGCCGTCGATACCGATGCTCTGGGCGAGCGTCATGTCGTTTGCCCAGTCATCCTGAGTGTAAGAGGCCACAATCCCAACCTAGAGCAACATCACCGTCCCACATGTTCCGAGGAAAATGGTGATCGTACACTTACGATAAAGTGAGCGAAGACATATTTAGTACCAGAAGCACGCTCGACGAGTTCTTCTGTTCCACGGGTGGGTAGAGTCGCACCCAGAGCCGATGAAGCGAGAGTAGCGACTTGGAGAAGACGAGAGAAAGTGAGACGCATTGTAGGAGCTTGGGCGTTGATTCTCCCACCTCAAGCCGATGGTATTTATACAAATCCTGGCACTGTCCAGGCTCGGGGAAGGGCCTGAATTCGCGCTGTAACACATCATGATATGACAAGCCTCCGCGCTCGCACACAGCAAAGTTTACTATAGAGACGCTAAATATAGGTCGCAAACGCAAAGACGCTGGCGATCTTCGGCATGGTGGCTGGCATGTTCCTGAGCAGGCTTGAAAGCGGGAGGGAATCTGCAGACAAAGCCACCGCCCCGAGGCCCCGAAGTCAGGAGCGTGTGTGAGTAGAAAGGACAGAATCACGCACAGTCTCTGCAGGTCTCTGAGAACATGAAGGTGGTCCAGGACAGGGGCTCTTCGAAATTACGTAGTCTCGATAAAACGTCCGTTTCATCGGCAAACCGAGACGAAAAGCCCTGAGCTACGCAGCGTGTGGCATGTGGTTGCAGATAAAATAAAACAGGGATGCATCCCGTCTGGAGTTGCGTGCATGGCTCCCTGGGATTGGGTACTTTGTTTGAAACATCCCACAGAATGCCGTGACGTGACACGAGACGATAGAGTCTGTTAATGATGATCAACAGAAGCGGGAATGTAAATGTGTGTCGCCAGGGGTAAGCGGCCTCAAGGGGGGCGACGGAAGCTAACTTGAGCTTGAGGACGCGTAACATGCAATAGCGTAAGAGCGTCAACACTTCAGATCAAAAATTTGGACGGCAAAAAGCAATGAACGATTGAAAGAGGCGTATGAGATTTACCCCTTGCAGGTTGTGAGCTTGAAGAGAAGCGGGTCTGACTTTGGGAAAGGGCAAGGCAGCTCGGAAGTCTCCGAACAGCTGTGAAGTTCAATACTCGGCAAGCTCTCGGCAGACATGTTTTATCCAGGCACTATCCCTTTAGTAGCTAACGCACTTGCTCTATATCACATGGCCACGTCTTTGGCTATGCTGCATATATCACGACGTGCATTGCCATCGGTGGCCATCTAGCCCTTGAAACTTGTGTACTTCTCACTCGAGGCTTCTGTCGATCTGTCGGCATCTGTCCTCGACGGAGATCTTGGTTGTGTCCCGCTCTTTGCCCACTACTAGTTTTTGGTCCCCGCCACCGAGCATGGTGTTCAACTCACTCTAAGCACCAATTACAGCTGCACGTCTGGGAAAACGGGCATACTTACTCCTGCAAGGTCTGAAAAGTCGAAACTGGATCAAGCTTTCACAAGAAGAAGGTAACAAACGTTGGGATTGGTCATTGTCTCTGGGTCTCCGTACTGCAAGGCCGTCCTCCTCGAGTTCATCTGCTGGCAAAAGAAGACGCTACATGGATTGACGTGGCGACAGGGAGTTGACTGGAGTCCAACTCCCGTCGAGCCCGAGTCCGTGAACACATCTCAGTAAATCTCTTCTGTGGAGTTTCGAATCTTGCTCGTCCAGCACTGAGATATGTCGCAGGTTTTGGACATAGACTATCTATCTTCTCGGCGCTAGATGTATAACTCAGCTCGAGGTCGTTGCATGAGGGTAACAATCTATCGTATCCTGGGATCCAGTCAAGCCTGGACAGACGGGGATTGCGTATCGACGTTGACAGCAGCGTAGAATGCTTCAAAGGACTGGACAGCTTGGTCGACGTGGCTCTGTAGTTTTCTCTAGTTCTTTCAAATGGCAAGACAGCCGTATAATAATACGGGACGGATTTCTGATCCGAGTCTACTGAACGCTTACGCTGTCAGCCCAAAGCCTGACCACGCACAAGCACGGCATGACTTTCACAAGGTCGTAATGTATTAGTAGAGCAAATTATTTGCGATGTTCCTTTTATTGGCCACATAACTATCGATCGTTGCGTAGGGCGAGTACTGCCTCATCCCCGACTCCATAGTATGTCGCCCCATGTTATGCTTATCTCCCATTACCAGGCAATGCTTGGTGACTCATGCTAGTAGTTGGTGTGATACGATGGCGAGTCAGAACGTTGATAATTCGCAGTATGATCTATACAATATTAAGGCAATACAAAGTCCACTAGGCTACACAATGACCAAAGAACGGATATCGAAACAACGTGGTGTTGTCGAGTACACAAGGAAGAGGCAATAAATAGCCGAATCCAAAACATCATCCGTCTGTCCCGTTCCGGCGGGGAATGCAATAATAAGATATACAATCCAATAAACGACAGCAAGAACGAAAGCGCGATACAAGACCGAGCAAAAACAACGACGAACGGGGACGAGAAACATGCGCGGACCACGGCACCGGTCCGATCATCCGGAAGCATCGGTGGACCCGCGCTGCGGCGCAGTGAGCGCAGTAGCCCCTATTTTTCAAAGAACAGAATCCGGCAACCGAAGGTCAATACTTCAGTCGAGCGAGACGGGAAGCAAAAGCGGCGGACGTCCCGTGGCTGCGCGCCATGCGGCCTGCTTGGTGCGCAGGCCGGCGAGCACATCGAACAACTGTTGGCGCACTTCGGGCATGTACGCCGAGAGCGCGGCGGGTGAGGGGTTTTGGCCGAGGCACACTTCGAGGATAGACCGCAGGCGCTGAGGGATCGGGTGTATATCTCTGGATGCATGGATGGGGGCGGAGCGGGGATGCGGAGCCGCAGGCGTAGACAGATCGAAGGAGATCAGTGAGGAAGGCGATGGGGATGATGATGAGCCTGTGCATCGGGTGCTGGGACTAAGCCCTGTGGGATGGACATACCTCGTGTCGATGTTGTAAGCGCTGAAGGCGTGCACGACAGCGTTGAACGCGTTTCCGAAATTGATGTAGGCGTCGCTGACTTTTTCGGCAGCAGCGCGCACGGACGCCCAGGCTTGCAGCGACGTCTGTATGCTTTTCATCGCGGTGATAAGGGCGTGTACGGCGGCAGGCACGTCGGTGGTGGGGGTAGGGTACTGCGGGTAGACCAGTTGAAGTCCATGGGGGTTGCTCAAGCATGAAGGCGAACGCACCGAGTTAGAACGGTAGGCCTGCATTACGAAGAACGTATAGGGAAGAACACTAAAGTGCGATTACTGTAGAGTCTATTTCAGAAGAGAAGTCGAGAGAAAGAGAAGTAAACGGAAGCAAATAAGGGAGTGGGGTATGTTGGCAAAGAAAGGAGGAGGCAAGCGGACTCACATATATAAGCCATCGACTGGTATCGGCGGACGGCCACAGTTAGCGCCGCCGCGAGTGCGGTGAGGATGTGCGTGAGGGTGGACATGTTTCGCGTATAGGTCCCGCATAGGTCTACAGCATTGGCTCGCGGCAGTTCTCGTGCTTCAGTGCACCTGGATGACAGCTGTCGCCTCAGTGACGTCTCTGTCCTAGGCGTTCAGTCGCGGGTCGTGTTCCAGCATGATAGGAAGAGTTCGTTCTTGTTCGGCTCAGCTGCAGAGGCGCCTCGGTATGGCGCTAGGATCTGGGAGATTAGGGGCGCTGGGCACTGAGTAGAGGCTGAGGGTAAGTCGAGTCGAGGAGAAGGAGATGGACGGTGGCAGGGTCGATGGTTGCAATCGCCAACACGACCAGCCGTGCCGATCACACAGCCACCCTTTTAACCGCCCTTGTGGCGTGCCCAATCTCCTAAAACCCCCACCTCGAACCCAGATACCCATAATTGCAGTGCACTGGTTTTTACTCCCGCTTATGTTGTCCATAAAGTTCTTACTCATAGGACGCTAACCCTGTCCTGAAACTTGGTTGCGATCACTTACCTCATTTGCCGTGTCTCTTGTTCCTCCTCCTCGAGGCTGAGGACCGGGATCTACGAGGCCGACGCGCATTTAGACCACTCGTACGTGTACTGCATCAGACCTCTCTCCGGCTTCAATGACGGCGATAAGCGGATGAAACACTTAGCTCAGCCACGGATGACGAAGCATATCTATTAAGACACAGGTTCGTCGTCATCGTAGCATCACATGGAGGCGACAGAAGCTCAGACACGAGGCCATTGAGCGAGGTGGCTCATTGGATTCCATGGTTGCGTCGTCTTGCTGGAAACGAGGTCATCAGTTGAACCGGTTACTGTAAGTGAGGCGATAAGAACCAGTGGTGAGTTCCTAGTATACCCGATGAGAACCACAGAACACCCAGCTCAGTACCTCTGTAAATGGTGGGTCCCCTGCCTGTTCCGTGTCTGTGAGAAACAATGAAGAATACAAAGACATCATAAAGACACCGGCACCGGTGTTGATCCCAGGGCCCTCGTAGACAACAAGGGCTTGAGGGCATCATGGGACCATTGACCTCGCCACCGGTATATCACGTTGTCGAAAGAGTTTTTTGAAGACCGGAAGACCCTTGATCACCAGCGAGGGAACGATGTCGCGATGGGGAGAACCATTGCGGGTAGAAGCTGATACAGTGTTGGCATCAACCAAGCTAGCTCGGAGCGCCGAGGCGCTCACGCTGCCCGTGACTCAGGCCTAGAAGAGCAGGGATTAGTATCATATTGTGTAAATGACGAATGCTGGTTATGCTACATGACTGAGCGGTGGAGATGACCCTATTGGACTATCCGAAATTAGTATGCGAGTACGTGTACAATTGATCTATAGCTAATAGGCGGGGCGCTTAAACGACTTCATGATATGACTGACGCCTCGGAGGTCGCAGAATCGGGGTCCAAAGGATGGTTGTCCCGAATGTCCAAAACGTTCTTCTCGGCGTCAACACGAACGACCACAGTATCTCCATCCCTATGCGCGCATGGCATCAGTACTGCACTGACCAGCCCAAAGCAGAGAGTGGGGACCAAACTCACCTGATAGTCCCTTTCAACAGCTTCTGTGCGAGAGGAAACAGCACCTCCTGCCTCACGACTCGCGCGATCGCCCGCGCCCCATACACGTTCGAGTACCCATGGTCTGCAAGCCATTCGCGCGCCTGATCGTCTACGTCGAGCGTGACGCGGCGGTCGCGTAGACGTGCCGCCACGTCGTTCAGACGCAACGCGACGACGTCAAGGATAGAGCGCCGCGAAAGCTTGTTGAACACCAGAATCGAATCGAGCCGGTTCAGCAGCTCAGGTGGGAAGTACTCGGACGTGCGCTCCATGACGAGGTTCTTCGCTTCATCTGTGACGACTCCATCGGCGGTACACGACGTGGGATGGGCGAGGATATCGCTTCCCAGGTTGCTCGTGAGGCAGATGATCGTGTTCTAAAGGTGGGTGGTGAGCACGCGTTTGGACGCGGAGATACGAAGTGAGATGTACCTTGAAGTCAACCTTGCGGCCCTGGCTGTCCGTGACACTGCCTTCGTCCAGGATTTGCAAGAGAATCATGGCAACGTCCTGGAAAAGAGATGAGAAGCAGGCTCACGTACGACGGTATATGCCCAACCTTATGCGCCTTTTCCAGCTCGTCGAGTAAGATCACAGCTGCAGTAGAGATGAAAACGCAGGATTGGGGTAATCCTACAGCAACACATACCATATGGCTTTCGTCTTACGGCTTCCGTGAGCTGACCTGATCGTGAGATGTAAACAGATGGTTTTGCTATCCTGCTTAGCTGTACTTACCGCCTTCTTCGAAGCCGACGTAGCCTGGTGCAGCACCAATCAAGCGCGAGATGGTGTGACGGTCATGGTACTGTCCATGTAATGAGCAGCAGTGCCAGGACTCGAAAACCTGTACAAACCTCAGACATGTTGATGTTAATACTGATGAAACGAGATGAATTAGAACTGCCCGTGGATAAAGTTGATCTCACTTACAGCCCACGCTGTTCGTCATTGAAGAGAAACCCAGCCAGTGCCTTGGTGAGCTCGGTCTGGAACACTTGTTAGCACACAGGGATACTCGGCGTTAAACCAAATATCCGTACCTTGCCCACACCTGTAGGTCCTAAGAATAAGAACGACGCGACCGGTCTGTTCGGTGCCTGCAGACCCGCTCGCGAGATCCTGACAGCGTCGCTGATGGCCGAGATAACGTGGTCCTGCCCAATAACGCGCTGCTTGAGAGAGCTCTCCATCTGCAAACAGCGGAAAGATGTCGTTAGCGCATACGTTTCATAATCCCACTGTTCAACTCACATGAACGAGTTTGTCCCTATCTCCCTTGAGCAAATTCTGCACCGGGATACCCGTCGCCTTCGCGACGACGCGCGAGATATCGTTGCTCGTCACGCGGTCGTGCAGCATCGGCAGAGGGCCTTCTGCGTCGAGAGCCTCGCCGTCTTTGCCCTCACCCGTCTCCCTGGGCAGCTGTCGCTCGAGGTCGGGGATTGTTGCATATCGTAGCTGCGACGCGCGCTCGTACTGGCCTTGCCGTTGTGCCACCTCAAGGTCGTGCTTGGCCTCCTCGAGCTTTTTCTTAAGGTCTTTGATACGGTCGAGCCTTGCACGCTCTGTAATCCCGTGCATCGAATGTCATGGGAATGATAACGATTGAAGCTGCAAAGGTACGCGCCGTTCTGCCAAATGGCCGTCATCTCCTGCGCCTGCGTTTTCTTCTCCGCTAACTGCTCCTCAACACGCGCACGACGCTCGACACTGAACACATCCGTCTCCTTCTTTAAACTCTCCAATTCGATCTGAAGGGTTGTGATGTCGCGGTCGAGAGCTTCGAGTTCGTCAGGCTTAGATTCCTGAGCAAGGCGCAGAGCAGATGCGGCTTCGTCCACGAGATCGATGGCTTTGTCGGGTAGGAATCGGTCGGATATGTAGCGAGCACCGTAAACGGCAGCTAGAAACAACTACTCGTCGGAGGGATCAAACGTAATAGGCAAACACACCAACCAGTTACTAGAGCATTGTCTGAGATTTCGACACCATGATGAACTTCGTAACGTGGTTTGAGACCACGAAGAATCGAGATGGTTGACTCGACCGTTGGTTCGTCGATTTGAACGGGCTGGAATCGGCGCTCTAGAGCAGCGTCTTTCCCTATCGTCTTTCGATACTCTTCAACTACCTTGTGATTGAGCGCCTGCAGCAAAAACGGGTGTATATGTACGTACCAGTAGTAGCGCCCACCAGCTGCAGTCCGCGAGCAAGAGCAGGCTTTATCATCTGACCTGCGTCAATACTTCCCTCCGTTTTGCCGAGATTGAAGAGCGTATCTGGTCAGCAAGAGAAAGCAAATGTGAGCGAATATGAACAGTGAACGTAAGAGAAGACACGTACGAATTTCGTCGATGAAACAAATCACATTCCCCGCCTGAAAACCATGTTCAAATCCATTACAGACGCATTTGAGAACGCGTATACCCACCTCATCCTCGATGTCTCTGATCAACGCCTTGAACTTCTCCTCGAATTGGCCTCTTATACCTGAGCCAGCCATGATCGCGGACAGGTCTATGGAAAGCACCCTCTTGTTATGAAGAGACTAGATGTGTGCGAACTATGTTTGGCTTGGAAAGCCTATTGAAACATATATGCGGCGTACCTCCGGGACTTCTTTCGCGACGATCCTGCTAGCAAGGCCCTCTAGAATGGCTGTCTTACCCACGCCCGGTGGTCCAATAAGCTGGCCACAAATGAATACATGCATGAAACTCGATAGCGTTTGGGTCACGTACCACGGGGTTAGATTTTGTCCTCCGGGACAAAACTGTTATATGATGGATGAGCCGTTAGACCCGGGACGGATTCCGCAGATAGCTGCTCACTTTGGATAGTCCGACGAATCTCTGCAGAAACGATAAATGTTGCAAAACGTGAATGCAGGCGACAGACGCACCTTCATCTCGTCCAATTGTTGGGTCCAGCTTTCCGTTACGGGCCATCTCCGTCAAGTCCACGCTCTATCCCCCGCGAAGATCAAAGGGAGAATAGAACGCGTTAGTGGGCCTCATTTATGAGCATCAATCCAGCACAGGCACCCACATATTCCTTCAATGCGTCCCCCTTCTCGTGCTGTGGCCCGAGCGAGAATCCAGGGAAGCCACCACCGCCCCCGCTGCCGCCTTGCTGAGCATAAGTACGTCTTGATGTGCGCGACCGATCGCCTTTCGAGGGGGATAATAATGGACTGTTGAGGTGCGGAGAGCTTATGAGCGCTAGAGACGAGGCACGGCGAAGACTTGATATGGTCGCGGTGGCCCGCGAGACCGGTAATGCGGTATTTGCGATGGACCGTCTAGCGAGAAACATGACTGGACGTGCTCGGAAAATGCGTCGAAAAGAGAAAGTTGCCCGTTGGCAGTAAACTGTAGTGATGTTTCAGAACATGAGAGGATCAGCCAAGTGTGTGGTAGACAAAGTAAAGTACGTTGTGTGCGCACGGAGAAGGTACGGAAGGTGTTGAGCAAAATCTCGCAAATTCCAAGACATGACGCAAGTCACGTGGTTCCTCGCCGAAAGCTTGGCTGGACCGGCATCTGCTCCCTCTTTGTGACGTCGCCCTTGCTTACCGCTTACACGCAATATACCCATCGTCTCAGCTACTTCTGTAGAAAACTTCAACGAGGAGAGTGCGAGTGTCTCTGTTCGTCTCAAGGCCGGAATGACGTGCGCTTCGGGATATATTTCGTTTACACTCGAGCAGCTTGACGTGTCCCACAAGACATCATCTCCGGGTACGGCAAGCGCGAGGAGAATGGCAAGATACTCTACGACGTCAAGTTCAAAACTCCTGACATCTTCCCATTGTGCGTGATTCCCTCTAGCTTTCAGCTGTCCTCAATCATCCTTATTAACGATGCTCCAGTTCAAATTCGCGCACAACCCCGAGGTCCGCAAGTGCGCGATTGAGGCCCACGAGGACCGACTCTCCGTGAACGCCCTCCTCCTCGGTCGCCCTCTCGAGCTCCATAGGGAGATCGCAGGCCTGCTCGGATACAAGACCTGGGCTGACTACAGCACCGAGCCAAAGATGGTCAAGAGCGGCAAGAATGCTGAAGACGTGAGTTCCTTAGACACTTTCTGCTTTCGCTTTCGCGCTGTTGACTGGTGTCTATAGTTCTTGGGCGATCTCGAGACGAGGCTGCGCCTACTTAGCGAGAAGGAACGCGGGGCGCTGATTCAGCTTAAGAAAGAGGTACATGGGAAGCGCGGGCTGCCATTCGACGGCATATTCAACTTCTGGGACTATCGGTGCGTCGATACGCCCTCCGCTATCGTAGTTTACTCTGAACGTCGTCTGCTTTTAGGTACTATGACCACATCTATATCAAGAAGACGCTCGACCTTGACGACTCGCTCATCAAAGAATACTTCCCTGTTGCCGTCGTCGTCGTCGTCCCCGCTATCCTTGAAATCTATCAAAAACTTCTCGGCGTCCGCTTCGTCGAGGTGAAAGGAGACAAGAAAGATGTCTGGCATCCCTGTAAGCTTAATTCACATTCCATCTCCTTCGCTGACGATATGCTCCGAGATTAAGCAATTCGCCGTCTGGGAGGCCAACGCAAAGGACGGTTCGGGTTTCGTTGGATACTGCTACTTGGGCCTCTTCCCTCGCGGTGCGTCTAGTTTGTCTTGTATATTGACGCGAACCTCCAGCTGACATTGTGTACAGATGCCAAGTACTCGCATGCCGCCGCCTGGCCCCTCCTCGGCCGCGCTACCCCTGAGAAACTGAACGGCCGCGCATTTCCGCTCGCGGCCATGGTCGCCAATCTCGTGAAGCCAACGCCTGACCGCCCCGCTCTCATGCGCCACGACGGCGTGACAATGTTCTTCCACGGTCGCCTTTCGCACGCCCAGTTCTCGCATTTGCACGGCACGTCGGTCGCACGCGATTTCGTCGAGGCACCGAGTCAGATGCTCGAGAAGACGGCGAGCCACTATGTAGCGGTCACGTCTCGGTACAGCCAGAGCCGGATGCTACAGCGTCCAGAAACCCGGACGAACTCGCTGTCGTCGCTCTATGTGACTCGATTATTCCATGCTGTTCTATGCCCTCGTTCTATGCCATATGCTCATTGTATTTCTCCGATGCAAGTAGATATTGGCTCCGATCCTCGTACAGTATATAACACTGGGTACAATTTACCATTTTGTCCTGATCAAAACAAGATCAAATTGTGATCAAAATTACATGTTTTCCGCTGATATTGCCATTAACAATACATGAACATTACTCTGAGATTTGGTAAAGGTTTATTTCTTTTCAAAATACTGACAAAACATGACTAACTGCTCTTATTTTGCTAACTATACCCATATTTTGATATATTATTGAAAGTCGGGCATGTCCAAAAATTCTGAAACTTGGGGGTCTTATAGTACCTTATGGGTGTACCCCAATGCCCAAGTTTGAAGGAAATCGGCGGTTCCGTTTTTGAGCTACACCCCCCCAAGTTGCATAATTGGGGCTGGGAGGGCAGCACACAACTTCTCCACTTGTTCTCCTGTCGTCTCGCAGAGATCACCAATGGATCTTACTGCCCAAAAGGTGGCCCCTTAGGGTGAGCCTAGCAGTATATCCCTCTCACAATGCCCCATCGTGAGACCACGCGGACCACGCGAGACCACGCGTGGCTTTGAATGGCCATGTACGGACCACGCGGAACGGCGCCATGACGATCGGACAGGTCATATGACCCCAGCCACATGTCACCCAATATTCCCACGCACTAGACTCACCACGCGTGGCGTGGAATGTCACCACGCGTGGCGTGGAATGTCACCACGCGTGGCGTGGAATGTCACCACATAGGAGCCTGTACCACGCGTGGCCTGGAACATCACCACGCGTGGTGTGGAATATCACCACATAGAAGCCTGGTGTACCACGCGTGGCCTGGAACATCACCACGCGTGGCCTGGAATATCACCACGCGTGACCTAGAATGTCACCACGCGTGGTGTGGAATATCACCACATAGAAGCCTGGTGTACCACGCGTGGCGTGGAATGTCACCACATAGGAGCCTGTACCACGCGTGGCCTGGAACATCACCACGCGTGGCCTGCAATTTCACCACGCGTGGCCTGAAATATCCCCACGCGTGGCCTGAGATATCACCACGCGTGGCCTGCAATTTCACCACGCGTGGACTGCAATTTCACCACGCGTGGCTTGGAATATCACCACATAGGAGCCTGGTGTACCACACATGGCTTGTCCTCATCAGGTTCCTATGTGAGACCACGCGACCACTGACCATGCAACTATGCATCCATAGTGATTGACCACGCGTGAAGATAAATGTGACCATGGGACCAAGCAGTGTACGTATATCTGATGATGTGACGATGTGATGGAGTGGATATGACGATGCCATGATGAAAGACATGGTGTTCGCGTTGACGAATTTTTGGTATTTTGGTAATAACTGAGCCAATAAAGCAGCTGTTGGTAAGCTACTTATATGGATGAGATGGTGGGAAAGTAGAGCATGATTGGAGATAGAAAGGAAGCGTGGGAAGAAATGACTGATTTGAGAAAATTGAAAAAGTGTCACCAAGTGTAGTATGGGCAAGTGAATGGCACCAGGTAATGCAATGAGGACAAAGTGAAGGACAGAGTTACAACCTGAAAGTGAGGAAGGTTAATAAGATAAACAGAGTGATAAGGCAGAAAGACAAGTAAGACAGGTGATGAGAAATAAGGAAGTGGGTGGAGCAGGAGGATAAGATGAGTAATGTGGGAAGTGTAAGGCGAGGATGGTAGTGTGCAGGGTGGTTAGGGTTAGGGTTAGGGTTAGGGTTAGGGTTAGGGTTAGGGTTAGGGTTAGGGTTAGGGTTAGGGTTAGGGTTAGGGTTAGGGTTAGGGTTAGGGTTAGGGTTAGGGTTAGGGTTAGGGTTAGGGTTAGGGTTAGGGTTAGGGTTAGGGTTAGGGTTAGGTT